TCGGCTGAAAAAATGTATAGAGGTAGAGGGAGAGTACTTTGAAGGAATGTCATAATAGTTTTGTAGGTTATTTATTGAATTAGTCGGAATAAATTTAGACGCGCAAGACTTTTCGACCACCCCACGTATACTTAGCCTGAGTTCAATTTCTGCAATTTATTCTGCTTTACGTTGGCGCGATTGAATTCGCGTCACTGCATATATATACTGGAGAAATTCATAAAACATTGCAAATGTACAGTATTATGTCACTTAGTTTTTTATTCGTAAACCTAATATTAAATTATATAACTAAACAATTGACGATTGCTCAACTTGCTAACCTGAGAAACGCGTTTCCTATCCATGACGATCGCTGATCCTTGCTGAGAAATTATTCACCATCACGCTCTTTCTGACTACACCTTAGGTGGCTGGCCTTTCGACATGCCATTCATAGCGACGAAGTGAGCGTCTGATCAGCTCAATCGGTTGCCGAATATTAATAATACACTCGATTATATGTCTTCAGTGGCACTGGAAAAAAATTTTGATTTCCTGTGGCTGTCATAGAGGCCTCCCTTTTTTTTCGATATGCATACCATCTCTTAAGACTTGTTAAAATAAACACGTCCGCTAAGCCAGGTGATTTTCAAAAACAACATCAACGTACAGTACTCTTATGTTATATTTCATTTGCGTCAAATATATTGGGTGTTCTCCAGGGACGCTGTTGTTGTTCCCGTGTTGATTACCGTCAAGGTTCCTTGAAACTGTTCATAGATTTTGTATCTTATGGGTATTGAATTGGGTTACATCAAGTTCGATTTCCTTGATTGTTTTTTAGTCAAGATAAAGATTTCGAGAAATATCAATCTCTGTCAACGCTATTTAATGTTGTCGTTATGAGTCACTTGTAAGTAATCCTCTCTTTATTTAGATATTTCTTGAGAATACTGGCACCACATATTTTAAAAACATAAGATTAAAATACTTCTGATTGTGCCCAGCCAGAAAAATCAACTATTGCTGGGATTGTTAATTTTGGGTGTTAATATAACACGAGAATTGATTGATTACTTCTTGTTATTGCTGTATCGTGTAAATATCATTTTTTGTATTAACCGATTTTATTATTATTATATCAAAAACCTTGGCGCGTATAAAAAGACTATATACAACAAGATGATATCTGCTCATTCTCTGCAGCCACTGTCAATTACTCTCTACTATTACTTCTTCCTTAACAGGACAAACAATAGCACCGCCATAGTTTAGATTTCTCTCATTACAAACTATATCTTCTTTGAATTCAGCTGGCGATCCCAAGACAACACGGTCATCAGGCACAACTTTCCTCCCTTCATTCTCGTTACTGACCAACTCTCCATCCACATTCACTTGTGGCTTTACGTCACCTTCCTCATGCTGTGGATTATCTCCATCAACATCATAATTATCCTCGTCATCGTCGTCATCGATCGACATATTAACATTCTCAGATGCTACTGTCTTGGATAGAGATGGCTTGAAGTCGCGTTCGATCATCTCACGCAAGCGATTGATAAATGCTGTTGACTGATCAGCATCCGTGAATATGTGAGATGATATGGATTGGAGAAACTTGTCCAGTCGAGAAGTTTCAGGATCATTACGGTATATGTCCCACATATTTACACGACTAAGTAGGAAATCACAAGATATGAGTAAAGCTGCAACAGAATAACACGCACATTAATTACCAGAAACATACTCGTGGTTATCTTGATATTCTCGTATAAGTCCCTCCAGTTGCGTATACAATTCTTCAGAAAGATTGGTATCTTGTATGACTTGTCTTTGACAAATGTACGGAATTCCTGAATTTGAAATCAAGTAACAATTAGCTTATACAATGTCATTCGAATTCTAGCGCTATTTCAATACACTTTGCATGCATCGTCCACATACGATAAGTTCCTAATGGTTCGTAATCATTCCCAATCGAAAGGAATTCAAATTTTGAGATATTAGACGGGTCTCTTCTGTCAAATGGTGTCACGATAATACCAATGAACGGTTCAATACCGCTCTCATGCCGACATAATTCCTGTTCAAGTTAGATTGAAAATCGTTAATAACTCCAGCTAGTGAGCAATTAGAAATATTTCACAACAGCATTTAGTTGACATAATCTGTACCTGATACATGGCTTGATTTTCGATATCACGTATTGATGGCTGGGGGTCGAACGTTGGATGAGAGTGATACCATCCTATGACATCCAAATTTTTCGCAGCAAAGGCATCTCTTGCTTCAAGCTCAGAGCTGGGGTCCATCTCACACTGAAATGATTAATAAGAACCACGAGTGCTAATAGTTAGTATCTACCCCCAAATTGTTCTTGCCTTTTTACTCATTGTAATCACCTGGAATCCGGTGCTGAAACTTTGACAGGGAAAAGCCATTGATACTTGTAAAAAGCCTTCATCATGGTTATATTTCCCACCAAGCAGACCGATGATTTCGGTGGAGACCAAGTGAGCATGAAAATCCATGACCAACTATACAATGGTAAACCACATCAGAATTACAATAGTTTTCTAACAAATTTCCAAATTACTCGTCAAGTACCATTGCGTTTGAAGATGCTGTGACCCTGAACGGTGGCGGATTATTATCGGTATGCTTCTGTGGCGGAACTAATCTAAATGGATCATTTGTTCCATAATTTTCATTGTAATTAACTCTATTCCGTCTTCTCATTCGTCTACCACCCGATACGTCGACTAAACAAGTCACAAGTCAGCATATCGAGTTTGGGAGAATTCAATATATAGAATGACATTATGCTCATTACATTACCAGAACTAGGATCATGAGATATTACATGACCACCAAGGTCTCTTTCATATACCCTTATTACATATTAGTACTTTGTTCGTGATCATAAACGACAATTCCATCAGTCCACTTACCATTCTCCATTAGTGCTACGTACTCGACGTTTGCGAGACCTTAAATAATCGGAATGAATATTGTGTGAACAAACCATACCAATTATGACCATCAATCTCGAAATACTAGCAGTCAATTACCTTCCTTTGTACCATTCATCGTCATCTTTTCCTCTTGAACTCGTATCAGAAACATATTCGACAACACGCGCTTTCCTCTTTACCGTCTTTTTGTGTTTTACAGATGGGGAGGCCGCGCCAACATTGATTGCTCCTATATCCTCAAGATACTGATGAACGCGGCCAATAGCATTTACATCTCCACAGTCCTAACAATACATAGCTATCAGCATTGATAAGTAACAAAATTGTAACTGGTATATCAGTATGACGACATAAATGACAAACCTTTAATCCTGGTCTAACACTCGTCTTTGTCACGTAACCTGGTTTACTATTAATCCATGCATTCAAGATATAATTTCTAATACGCATGTATCGCTCGGGCGTTTTTGCAGCTTTACCGCAAAAAAATTCGGCATTGGCAGTCTTTTCTTCATCAGTTATGAGATTTTGATTAAGAACCTAAACGACAAGCGTAATATTAATCAAATTCTGTTGATAACAGAAATACCACCACAATCCTATGACCAAATAAATCGTCTGCTCTCAACTTACTCGCTCTCCTAGCACATTATCATCTCTTTCGGTATCACTTTCATTCGTCGTGTCATCGACATCCATATTCTCTTGATTCGGATATGTTTCACTATCATCACTCCGCGAACTATTAGGAGTCCCCACCTGATTTCGCCTATAGACTTCGTACCCGGTATCTCCATTCTCGGGATTGCCCGTAGAAAGGGGGCTTTCATTACGGTGAGAGGAGATTGTGTTTTCACCACTGCGAGAACTCTGCGGACTGAGTGGTTGTTCCGGACTGGTCGGGGTGGCGAGATCGGATAGCGTATCTTCCATGGAGGTTTGAGAGTATAGGAAGAGAATTGGCGGATAGAGAAGGTAAAAGACCCTAAAGTCGCGTCGTCAAATTTTCTTTCCAAGAGTAATCAATTGATATTTGGCAGACAATGTTGAATTTGACGCCACAAATTGAATTGCAGGGTTCAGATTGCCACAATCGCGCCACATTTCGTGGTTCACAAAAAATTGATCAGCAAAACCGAAAAATTTTAGTTAATTGGTTCTTTCCCATAAAAATACGAACATATTTGTGGTTAGTCCATTTATTTTCTCACTTTTCATAATGGGATTTTCAGAAATTTTAACGGTGTGTGATTGTGAACCGTCAATAGTCAGAGTTTAATAACCTTGTTAGAAAGTTGATTGTTTTATTCAAGGTAAACGGACTTACTTTAATGTTAATTAACTAAGTAATAAATAATACGAATTATTATTACCTGTTAACTAAGTAGCTAGAAGAAAATTGTCAGTTAGAGCGCTCTACAATACCAATTTTCATACGACCAACAAACTTTCAGCAATTGACGAAGAATAGACTAGGACTATTGACTAGAACGTAGATAACATTTTTGGTTAAGAAGACGAAGATTTGTTTGTTATTGTCTTTTAAGTAGCTATATACGTAAAATTATTAAAGGGACATTAAAAAAAATACTTGCTTTTTGTAACAGAAATACCTTTCTCATTTGAATTAATGAACATAAACAATATTAATATGCTGTTAACATTAACCTTTTACAATAATTCTGACATCAACGAAAAAGCGAGTGGTGCTGTTGGAATGTGACTAAATGTGCAAGTGCGTTGACATACTACGAGATGTTTGTAATGCTGATCCTGACATGCGTCCAGACAATTTATGGATCCGATAACATACTGTTTAAAGAGACAACACTGACATTTGGAATAGCATCTATCATAATGATGTAAGAACCCATCATGTCTTGGGAAGGTGAGCAAATATTCTAGAAAGCACTTACCCACTAAACAGAAAAATACACATAGTCATGAGATATCAATTCAGTTGCTTGCATGTCTGGCTTTATGATCGGCATAGTCATTCCTCACTCGGACGGATTTGCCTTGGGTATTGCCGAGAGAGTTGTATGCCCGTTGTCAAAGCTTTAGAACCGTTTTCGTAGACATATGCGATTGCATGTTTTATGCGCGTAGGCTCCATATAATAATAAGATTGCATGTTTTTCTTAAACATATTGTAACTACAAAACTATGCATAACAATGTTTCCGCCATGAAGATCACAATGCACGATTCCTGCACCATGAATAGCATCTGCAATATTATACAAACGATATAATTTCATGCTCCATGCCAATTTATTAATATTTTGATCTAAAGACTACCATTGTTAGCATGTTGCATAACAATTATGTACTCTTTTGTTTCTGGGTCCTGTGTCATTCCATAAATTTTAAGGAAGAGATTATCCCTGTTTAAGCACTTGGCATGATTTCTGAACTATTAAATAAAAATAAACGGAGTCAGATTAATACCACCTTAGTTAATAATGTCTTGATTGCTTATCTTGTTAATAAGTAATTCCGGTGTCTGGTCATAACACTTAAAGCGTTAGTACACGTGTCCTGGGAACGGTATGAACGGTGAACGGTATTTATATTTGGCTATATAGACTGTTCCGTAACCACCAGATCCAATTTCCTTATATCATCAAAGTCAGCATACTCCATATACTTTATATTTGCATTAGTTCGCATAAATCTGCCCAATAGTGAATGCATGTTGTGGTAAAGCACCAAATAATATCCTTTAATAGGTGGTCCTTGAGTAATACTAATTATCTGGTGTTAATATCTCCGGATGTTCTTTAGTCAGCTAGTTGAGTAAACAAATACGCTCGTTACAATAGTATCGACTAAAGTACGCGATGCTTACGCGCGAAATAATTTTTACCTGATGAAAATCAAGCGACGTATTACCTATCCGCTTGAGTGTCACTTTTGTCCAGTGGTTCTAACCAATCTGCTTTATGTGTGCATCCATGCCGTAATGCAATCATTTCTCGTGCGTTTATCAATAGGGAATACTCTATCCATTGTATATAGATATCACACTCATGTTTAATATTACTCCACGATTCCATATAAATAAATCCAAAGACTTGTTGCCCGTAGTCCAATCCGGAGGTGATGGTGCTTTACATTTAAGACAGAATGCATTTATTTTAGGTTCTAACTGACGTGTATACGCCAGACATAATCTCGTTCTTTTATTAGATAATACATATTACTGTATATATCATATCAATATGTGAATCCGACGGTAACCCAAACATTTGTGGTAAGAATATCTGGATGTCAATAATTATCTAAAAGTTGATGCATTATTAATAATTGAATAGTTTTACCTTTTCGTAATATGAATCATCTGCTTCGTCGGTTATTTTAAGCCAACTAGTTTGTAAATAGGTAAACCATCCAAGTATCCATATCCATATTCATATAGATCCCCAATCAATAATACAATCAAATGCTAAATAGGCATGATTTGGTGAGTTTGTTTGTAATTGAGTTGCTTATTGTTGCTAGCCCATCCATCAGATAATTCATTGTGACCACAACAAAAGTATTCCATATGCAGTGCAGAATCCATATCGAGAATAACAATAGTAAAAGGTTTATCAGCAACCATGTAGTAGTTATTATCATACTTGGTAAACCTTTTTGAGTTTGTTGCGACTCTCAAGCCATTTGGAATATCGTCTAAAGTTATTGTTATCATTGTTGTACTTGTGTGTCGGAAGCGAGTATATTCTGGAAAACTCACTCACAAGTATTGGTGTAAATGTTTCATTACTCTCAAGATTATCTTTTCAATATAATAATAATTTCGGTTATTATACGGGAACAGCATAGTAGTTGTTGTCAATTTGATTTGGCTTTATCCATTCACGTTTATGAAAGATGATTGAACCAAGTCGTCAATCTCTGAAACTAACATTGCTCTGAAGCAAAAGATTTTCCACATTTTTGTAGTAATAGTGAATAAATTTGGGTTGATACAAGATTAGCTTCTTGCTTTAAAAAGTGTCATTTACCACAACGATGTGAAATTACTGACCAAAACTGAAATATACAAAATTAACAAAGATGTGAATACAGTAAGTCGTTGGATTTAAAGATGGAAGGAAACAAAAAATTTAAAACCGATGAAACATCCACTGAAGGTTAGGAATATTTTTCAACTTCAGGATTTGTGTGTGTTCAAAAAAAACCTGAATGCAGATTCTATGCACGAAAGAGGACTTTTACTTTTTGTCAATAGACTTTTGGAGTTGAAGGTTACATTTTGCGAGAAGCTAATAATCTTAAACGCAGGTCAAAATGGCAAAAATTTGGAAGGCCAAGAATTTTTGGAGGATTATGAATATTAGTATTAGCAAAAAAAATTCAAACTTTTAATATTAATCGTTTAAAAGCACAATTAGTGAAAAGCGGAAGAGACTTTCAGTAAGCTTGTGAAAATTCAGTTAAAAGTGTTTGCTTTTTGTTAAGGCAATCAAGTCGTGACATTAACAATTGCACATTTATTTTATTACTGCAATAATAAGTTCGTAACTATTCTTCAAAACATAGACTGGACCAGCCTCCTTTAGCTCGTTTTTTTAACAAAAATCTACTGATAAATGTAGTTTATTACTGCAAAGAAGTTTGCTTGTCGCTCAAGTGCCTGGTTTTACTTTAATACAGTCGCTTGTTGACATACCAACTAAATAAAAGAAGTTAGAGTCGCCCTTTCGCATGCCTTGAGTATTGTGGGCATTTGGAATAATGTGGTAGAATTCTGGAAGAAGTTAGAACAATAAAATCACGACAAATGACCTAATCCAATGATTGCTGTATTGTTAATGTCACTCTTCATGGGACGACACGTAGTCTTGCACATTTTGTTATTATTCACAGTATATCTCCAAATTGAGTAGAGCTTTTTGTGTGATACGGGTGGGAGAACATTTATGAGAAGCAAAAATAATACAAGCGGTCAGTTTTACAAATTGGAAGACTGCATGCACACGAAGATGCTAGTATACGGTGGAAGAACTAAATACTGTAGTCAGTACAATTTCAGGAAAATGTTGCTAATAAGAGATAACAGAATTATGAAATGAGGCAATAAATTGAATAATATACTTATTATCAGCATTACTAAGCGGCCCAATCAATAATTAACACTAATAACAGATCACAACGCATATGTGTAACCATCAGCTGACTGTCACTATCATAATGTCGACTTTTATGATTGGTAATTATACCTGACAACAAAATACAAATATGGTGCGAAGAGGGTATTAATTTGGTTAGCGTAATGCAGCAAAAGACGGACTGTTCTTATATAAATTAAAAAAAAAATTTTTTAAATAATCGATTTCAATTTTCAATTTCAATTAGGAACGACAGGCGTTTATATATGTTTCAAAAATCGATAAATTTTAGTGAAACACACCAGAATAGGCATCACCTTATCAATGCACAACGAGATTCTCGGATGGATAACATGATTACCGGTTATTACGCTACTCGTAATATGTATTCTTATCGTAATGACCTTCCTCGAAAGGCACAATTCTTTTATTTTATTGGATAAATAATCACACGTTATTTGTGTGGGAGTTAAACCGGCAACACAACATCTGCCCTTATGAAAATGTAACGTGATGTAAAGATTATGGATGAATCATGATCATCAATCGTTCATCTTAATCATCTTATCAAACCAATATGATCTTTAAATAAATTGCTTAATGCTATTGGGGTAAATAAAATAGTCATCTAAGCACAGCGCAAACTTGCTACGCTTGTATTATGTGTTCAATTTTTGCTCCTATTACTATGGAGAACGTTACACTCGAATGATCTGCAATCTTACCGACGTTAAGAGAGTATTGAGAGAGTATTGACGGATCACCAGTTGTTCTCGATCATATTGCACCATCATCGCCGTTTCTTAATAATCAAA